CTGACTTGGAGAGGTTAACCTCTGGCTCAACCCGGCGGGAAATCTCTGTGCTCAGAGACTTGACCAGGCTGAGCAGAGGTTTCCCCCGCAGGGAGCTGCTCTCCCTCGGCTCCAGCTCTGTGGAGGAGGATTTGACAAGATTGCTGGTGAGAAGTATGTCAGCTGATGATGCTGACAGATCAGCTAAAGAGCCCGGCGAGGAGGGGGAGTGAGGCAGGAAGGGGGGCTGGGAGCGGTGACTGAGGTTCAAGTCGAAATCCATCCCCAGGCTGAGGTCAGGCTGGCTTTTCCTGTCTTCTGGTTTGTCTTTGGAAAAAGCCACTGTGGGACCGTCATTACGGCTGTCCAGGCTGAAGATAAGCTTGCTTTCTTCCATGTTGGCCATCAACAAGAAGCTATTGAGAGAATGTGGTCAATAAAACTGGGTCCCTGAAGACATTGAGCAAGGCGCTAGGGAGTCTTTAACTGCATGAAGATTTGTGACGTCCTCTTCGGGTAACTTGTAGTACATCATTTTGGATGCTGGAAAGTGAAAAATGTATTTAAAATGTTGTCATTTCCCAAGCTAAAACCACCTTGTATAGCAACATCATTATTTTTAATGGCAGCATAACATTTGACATTAAACCTCTATGCTTTTTGTTCATCCACCGCTCTGACTTCCCGCCTAGTCTTGTCCATTGCTCTTTAAATGTTCTCTTCCCTTTAAACCATGATTCTTTTTTGTATCTTCTTGTTCACATAGCAAACACTGCAGCCATTATTACACAACAGAAGAGGATACTGATGTCACAAACAAATGTTCCTGCCATTATAGAGGCCACATTTTTACAAAAAAGGATCAGCAGAAAATGAAACAGTAAACACTTGAGCAATGATTGGCCGTTATCCAATATATTTTAAATTATTTCCCTGACCTTGATGAAACCAATTGTTCAGGCTACAGATAGTGATGTGTTACCATGTTGCAGTACAATTTAACTTTCCCATTGGCTCCCACCTTATCTTTCACTTCTCTGCACTCTGGAGAGATGTTAATTTCTAGCACCAACCTGCTGAACTGTTTGTCAAATCTAATTAACAAAAAGTGCTGCTCTGTCAGTGCTTATCCTGCTCCAGACAACCCTGCATTACTCCAATCAATTTCTATTTCGGACTTAGTTTGGATCAGTTGGTGCTGACAGAGAGAGGAAAACCTCTGCTGCTCTGTGGAAGACGGAGTCAGCAAGGATTTGGCAGCTTTCCAGCCAGGACTGAGCAAGAACTTCTGCAGGAAGACAGAAAATCAATGTCTTTGGTCTGTCCCTTGGGAGGGGAAAGTGTAGCAGAATGTGCTGTTATATAATAAGGAGGATTGTAGTTAAAGTCAATGATCAAACACATGACAAATGTACACTTATTAATGTGGGGGCAGCCTTCGAGAAAGAACTGAGCAATGAAGTCCAAATGTACTTAATGTCATTTTGAACAAGAAAGTTCACATTAAAGCAGCAACTATAACTAGGCCTATTATGTCAATCAACAAAGCAATCTTTCAACTTCCAACAGGTAAGCCCCAAGTGACTGCAGGCCATCCGATACGGAGAAGAAAATTAAGTTCAATGTAGTCATATTGCTGACTACCAGATATTTTACAATAACTGGAGGTAACAAGAGGCCTATTTGAAGGAAAAGTTAGTAAACTTAAAAAAGTCCTTCACTATAGTTCTACAGAATATTTTCTTTTTAGTAGGGTATCAGAGAAATGGCAGAGTAACATTACACCCTGTATTTGCAGATGATGATGGTCTAGGTTTATTCCCCTGTCTATAATGACTGGTGAAGAAGTAACAATGTATTAAAAGGGAGGGGAAGAAATAAAGTGAACATCAGAAAATCTCACTTGTATCTCTGAAGTCAACATGGGATAGAATCCTGCTGTCTTTCACTATCGATTATCCACTTAACCTATCAATCGACAATGGGATACAAAAAGATTTGTTTTCAATCTTAGAGAAACCTAATTGAAACCCATTGGAGTGCGGTATGATTAAATGTGACTATATGTCTATAGCAGCCTGGCATCACACAATGAAACATAACGTTTATTTTAAAGGATTAATCCTCACCCCAACTGCCATTTTAACCTAATGGCTGACACATTTGGCACAGCACTCTGTGTTTGTCTGGGTATCACAGGGTCAGTTTTAGTAAAGCTGCACTTCGTCTCATTAAGCAAATCATTAAGCCAATATCTCCAGGGCTTGAAAGAAGCTTCACTGTTAATAGACAGTGTAAGCCAAACAATCAGTCAGGCATTTAAATGAGTCCCTTTTGTCCCATTAAACGTTGTGCATTTCAAGATATGACAAATCCATCAAGCATGTCCTCACCATAAATCTTATATTTCCAAATAAAAGGCAGGTATTCTACTGCTATTCTATCACAACAACATGCGTTTGCTGCATGAGTTTAACTGCTGCATCAGTCAACGCACAGGATTTACCTGAATGTGGCATGTTGCACCAGCTGCTCCTGTGATCTCAGTGGCAGAGGTTTGTGTAGAAATGTGCTTCAAGTACAGGCTGCAGTGCACAGTGTGGATGCTGCAGCGCGCGGGGTGCTGCGCGCGGGGATGCGCACCATCGCAGTCTACAAATATTCACTCAACTTCACTGGATGTGTAGTCAATCTTCGTGGCAAAATCATCCAAACACCGTGAAAATATTTTACAGTTCAGCTTTAAAATGAACGCGTCAGCAGCACCGTGTCACACCGCGTCTTCGCGAGACGTCAATTCGGAATAATGTGATTATTGGAGCTCTGGCTGCAGCCTGGACGCAGCGGTAATCCAGATTAGACTCGAGAGGCCAACAGTTGACTGAGCGACTCCTCCTCTCTGCTGCTGGCCTCAGCGTCAAAACACACACCGAGCTCAACTCTGACACCGCAGTCTTGTACGCACCATTATGTAATGGCATGACCTGGGGAAATGATGCTCAACGTTACTGAACAACATCCTTTTATTCAAAAAGACAAAATCATTCATTGTCATTGACTATAAGGGATGGAAAGATCTGGTTTTAACTAATTTATATTATGTATCTCACTATTGAGGATTAATTTAGTTTGAATAAGGCAATTATCTACAATCTTCAAAGATTTGAAAGGCTTTATTATGCACAATAGCTACAGCAAAGTTGTTGACAATGAAAGTCCCAGGTTACTCCAACAGTGCAGCATATAGTTTACCTAAAACGTAAACAAATCAAAAATAAAGCAAGACAAACAAAATATGGAAAACGTATGGTGGGACTCAGCATTTACAATTCAGGAATAATTCAATGAATTTGTCAAATAGAATTAGATACAAATGAATGTAAAATGTAATACAGTAAAGTGGAATTAAATATGGTTTAGTGTAAAAAGATAGAGGGGAGAGTGGGGTAAATTGAGCCATTTTTTAATTATGCTGTCCTCTAAGCAAGGAGAAATGACACATAGTAAAAATGAAAACACACACCTATAATTCAGGATGTCTCCTATCAATGGCAATAATAATAATTAATATTTGATCAAGGGCAGTGAAAATATTACTTCTTTAAAAAAAAAAGTCTTGTGGCTCAACTTGCCCTAGTGTAGGGGTAAGTTTATCCAGGTCAGGGGGTAAATTGAACCACTGTTCAAACCTGGGCATACCTGTTCAAACCTGGGCATACCTACAACAAATCTTAAAGGTAACTATAAACAATAAATAACAAACCAAATACAAGCTTAGTTTTTCAAATATTTTTAATATAAATTTCGATTGAATTGATTGATTTTTTTTAACATGTTAAAAGGAAAAGTAATCATACAAATGGTGATACAATTTCATACATCTTACCAATCAAACACAGGGTAAATTCAACTTTAAATGTAGCCTATACAATGAGCTCTTATTATCAATTTGGCCTACTTTCATTTAATTTTCCATTGAAAAACTGGCTCAACTTACCCCAAGGTTCACTTTACCCCATAGCCACCATTTTATAAAAAATAGCCTAGCATTAAAATTCAGTCATCTTTAGCTTAATGATTCACATAGTTTAATACACCACCAACACATCAACATATACAATATATGTGTTTAAACCTGGATACTTTTTTTTTTGACATGACAGCCGATATAGCTGACATCTAGAAAATGTACTTTGACAAGCAAAAAACGTTTTTTTGTAAAAATGTTTACTTACCAGACCACAATGAGTATCTCTCTTTCACAGGCAATGAGAAATGGGTAGAGCTTGCATAATTTCTGGTCACTTGATTACAACTATAAGGCGTTGCCTGGTTACAGGGGGTGGTTCAATTGGCTCAATTGACCCCCTTCTGCCCTACATATGGACCGTAAATGAGTAAGTGTGTACTGCACAGAGCCCAGTCTAATGTGTCTAGTGTGATAATATTCCTCTTAATCTGGTGCTCTTCATCATTAATTTTGGTAAAGGAGTCAACACAAAGTATAGAGAGAACAGAGCTAAAGGAGGTTAACAGCTAGCGTTTGGTTGTTAGGATGTTTTAATGTTGCCTTCTGCCCTTTTCAACCAGGACCAGACACTGTGTGGGAGGTGATGACTGACCTTTAAAAGCTGACTGCACAAAGTGACATGAACAGGTTTAAACACTTTGATTCCCAGTAGAACATGTTACATAAAACAAGCGATACTTTGCTTATTTGCCCGAAGTTCATTTAATAGAAAATGTAATATACATACATTTCAATCTTTGAAATCGGATGCATCACATAGAGATCCCTGGTTCGGGGTATGAGACAGAAATGCATGGTGTTGAATGACAGCTATATTAGTGCTATGGGACCTTTGGAGCAATATAGAGAACAAAGTGCTACAAAATCCCCCCAAAAAACATCAAGAGTACATTTTGGTGAGTCTTCTGCCACCTGTTGGCCAAACTGCAGAAGAATACATCTTTCAGAGCAGCAGAGGGATGCAGGAAGTAATGATATGCACAAGCATCGCTGGATTGCAAACACTTTTTTTATTCTTACTTTGGAGGGCAAACAAAAAGAGTGATGGCCAAATAAAATGAACATGCTTCAAACCAATATCTCAGACAAACAATAAGGATGGAAAGCAAACTTGTATGATGCTTGAAGATTCACCCTATTGTGGCAATTGCAATTAGTTTCCCCTCAGGCAGTATTCATGGCAGCATTTCTGTCTGTGTTACATCATATTGGTCACTCCACTGTTTTTAAATCTGTATGATTTGGAAGGAAGGGACCTTGTGATTGAACAATTGATGAATACGTCTTTGAAGTGTCAACATGGGGTCAAATTATCGTACATTTTACCACTTTAAGGCGTTGTTGATCGTACATACAGTAGGGCAAAAATAGGGAATTTTTTTTAAAAGGAACAAATATTGACAGCCATATGAACAGTTTGAGGAAAAACGCACAATCAAGTGGTGCATTTAGGCTCCACACATGAAGAAAGTTAGTCTGTGTCCTGGGTGTGCACTCTTCTGTCGAATCAACTGCCGGCTTTGGCAAAACGTTTTATGAAAATTTTTACAAGATGACGGGTTTTGTCCCGTAAAAACGCTGCATGTGCGCTTTCAGATGACCAAGGGTATAAAACTGTTTCCCACATGTCGTACAGGAATAAGGTCTGTCCCCTGTATGTGTTCGTTTATGAACAATGAGGCTGTGTCTCTGATTGAATGCTTTCCCACACAGATCACATTGATATGGCTTCTCCCCTGTGTGGACCCTCATGTGCACAATCATTTGCATTTTTTGGACAAAGGTTTTCCCACAGTCTCGACATTTAAAGTCTTTAGTCCCTGTGTGTATTTTTGAATGTAATTGAACACACCCAGCGTTGGTGAACTTCTTGCCACAAAAATCACAAATTAGCCGTTGGTTTTGAGCACTATGCAAATACCTTAAAAGCTTCTTCGTAGATTCACTCGTCTCCCTGTGTTCTTTAATGTGCTTAATTAAGGGACCGATGTGCTGGAAATTCTTTCCACATATAAGACAATCAGGCAACACTGCTGCGTCCTTCTGCTTAATGCTTCCATTTTGTTTTTGCAAAGTTTTCCTTTTTGGTCCCTTCTTCTTTGTCTGCACACCTCTGTTCTGAAGCCACTCCTCATCATCGTCACTGCTGTCACTGTCAGCTGGAGAGAAGTCTGAAGAGATTGGCTGCAATTCAGAATTCACTTTTTGCAAAGTCTTCCTTTTTGGTCCCTTCTTCTTTGTCCGCGCTGCTTTGTTTTGAAGCCACTCCTCGTCACCGTCAATGCTGTCACTGTCAGCTGCAGAGAAGTCTGAAGAGATTGGCTGCAATTCATAATTCACTTGAAGCTCAGTTTTCATACCTTCAAGAGAAGGTAAAATGACTTCAGGTGCTTGGGTGTCATTTCCGATTTCCTCTTCCTCCTCCTCTTTTATTTTGAAGTTTGTCTGAGCCAAGCAGTAGATGCCATCTTTGTTGTCTGTATCTGCACTGGTTTGAGAGAGGACTGGGACCTCAGCCGTGCTCAGGTTAGACTCTGCTTGTATTGAGGTCTCCTGCAGCACTTCCTGTCCAGTCAGTGGAGGTTCTGCAGCCACAAAGGAGACAAAACAAATCTCAACAGGCTTCTTTGAGTTACATCTGAACTAATTACTGAATACTCAATAGATCCATAATCCACATTCAATGAATCTGCACAGGTTTTCTCTAAATCCTGTGCCTAAACTTTGATGCCTGCCCAAGACTGACTTACCCTTACATGAACAGTGAGAACCAGGGAGTCACAATTATTTCAAGAAATAAGAGAAACACTATACCTACCTACAAGAGGGTAGGTAGTGTTTATCTTATTTCTTAAAATATTGTACAGAAGTTGGTTGTAGTATGAACCTTTTGAAAATAGCATTATTACTTTGACAAATTGTATTTAAATAATTAATTAAACAATTGAGCTGGATATAGCCTACTGTATTAGGATTATAACAGATTCGTTTTTTGGAGTCCTTCATCATTATTTTATGGAGGCACCTGGAAGCTTTTAGTCCTTCTTGATTATTTATTTGTTCTGTCATTTGGATTGTCTGTGTAGTAATTTTGACTATGTTTTTTAATCTGTAGATACAATATCTATTGCACGTCTGTCCTGAGACAGAGTGCCCTCTCCTCTGTTGCTCTCCCAGAGGTGTCTTCCATTTCCCCCCATCGACTGTATTCAAAGTTTTTCCCCGTAATGTGGGGTTTCCTCTTGTGCACTGCAGGGGTCTAAGAGACATTTGATAAGATATGATAAAAATGATTCCAGAGTAAAGTTACCAAGAAGCAAACCTGATATCTGGCGCAGATGGTGTAGTTGTTGACACTGACTGTTGTGCTCTTCTTTTGGTCGCTGAAGGTTTGCTCCGTTTAAAGCTAACTTGTGTTTCTCCACCTCTCCCAAGATCTTCTCTGATGCTGCCTGCAGCCGCTGATGAAAACACGACTTCAGCTGACTCATTGTGGAGACAGTTGAGTCCTCCGTGAAAGAATGCTGGTTTTATACATAGGTTTTATATCAGCAAGTGCAAGGGACAGAACCGGAAGCGAACACAGAAGCGGTTGTGACGATTGCTACAAAGATCCTATATTGAGATCAAGATGACTCACTCGGGGTGTCCTTTAGCGTTAATCATGAAAAATAATCATGTTATTCTGGTTTCTGTTAATATATTAAGCTTAAAGGTGGAGTAGGTAAGTTTGAGAAACCGGCTCGAGATATACTTTTTGTTATATTCCATGGAATGCTCTTAACATCCCGATAGCAATGAATATCGTAAGTGCTTTGACAAAAAATCCATAAAAAGTCATCTGTGGAAAAAAAAAGCACGACCAATCATTTTATCCGGCCTGCCTAAAATAACTAAGCCTACCTGCCTATCTGTGCACAAATGTATCTGGTCATGTCATGGATGTATAATAAGCAGGGGTGCACATAACTTTTTTGCCCTGGTTCTCAAAGGAGCACCTGGAGACAGTGGCGTAACAAGGTTGTGATTGGCCCCGGTGCAAATATTTTTTTGGGCCCCCCCCCCCCAACTCAGCGCTGTCTGTCTGTCTGTCTGTCTGTGTCTTACTCTCTCTCTCTCCTTTCAAAATCTATTTAAAACTCATAACAAACAAACAAAATTCCGAAAGTTGTCTTGAATATAACTAATTAAATAAACGAAACGAAAAATATAGCCTACTTATGCAAACAACATAAAACGGAGCATTGTTTATTTCTACTTGAATGTCGCACTGCACCCGCTTTGCGATTATGTAGATTATCTCATTTTGAACAGCTGGACTCAAGTATTTCACAGAACCTTGTGGTCGCTCAACAAGTTCTTTCAGAACCGGATCGTAACATACTAAAAGTTCTATCATACTGAGAAAGTTTCCACTGTTGGGCTGTCCAAGAATCTCCCTATGTCCTCAAATGGCGCATTTCCACTGCAACGGGGTAGCCCCGTTTAAGCGTCCCTAAGCGTCCTCGCTCAGGCCTCGGGCTGCCTCGCTGGCCGTCCGAGGCCGTGGCACATTTCCATTACAGTTTAGGACCTGGGGTAGCAACGCAGTGTAGGCGGGGCGATCGGCTTTGTTTTTGTTCACATTTCGAGTTGTTCCGTCGAGCTCCCGCTGGATGTTATCATCCCCAATGAGATGAAGGAACGTCGTCACCTCCTCGGTCGACCACCGTGTGCTTTTCTTATTAGACGTAGCCATTTTTGTAGCTCCTCCGTTTACAAAATGCTGTTTATAAAAATGCTGCAAGCTTGCTTCTAAATATATATGCGACGCTAGGGATGAACTCGCGCGCGATCTTGTGACGATTCTCTCTGACCAATCAGCAGTCGAGAGTGTTGACGTCACTAGTTCAGCCCTGGCCCTGGTCTGATAGAACCACGATTTTATGGGCCCGGAAAAAGAGGGAAAAAGTACCCGCTAGCCGGTACTAGGCTATATGGAAAGGCCACCAAAAACTGGCCTGGCCGCTTGAGGACGGTTAAGGACGCTTAAACGGGGCTACCCGCTGCAGTGGAAATGCGCCATAAAAGCCAAGTTACAAGTGGCCAGAGTGATTGTAATGTTGACAATACGCTCAAGTACCTCCATGTTTGCATCGATTCTCCCGTTTTTCTTCCACTGTTCATATATTACACACGATCCGACATGGACCTGCGATTGTGCATGTGAGTCAATCCTCGCAGACAACGCATGTCCACCCATCACTGTAGAACGGTGCACCTCGGTCTGCGAACAGCCAGCACGGCTCACAATAGGCACAGTCCAGGGTGGGGGAGTAACACAGCCATGTCCGTGGCAGTTTGATACCTGCTCTGGTAGTGGTGGTGTAATACATCTCGGAGAAACACCTGTTTCCTTGATGTGTGTCTCTGGGGAATGGGCCGATAGGCCTACATGGACCGGTTGCTATAATATAGCCTTTGATCTTGGCGTCGGGGGTCTCAATAGCGCCATAGAGTCCCCTATCGGTTGGGGGCGGGGCCCTTGCGGGAACTGTAGGACCACCGCCGGGCACAGCCAAATCCATCCTCTCCTCCTGGCTCATGGCTGGAGAAGAAGGTTGCACAGCCACGGATACAGCTTCACTTGTGGAGCTAGATGATGGTGAGGCAGGTGAGCTATCGTTAGCCTCCGGCTCCGGCTGCACGTCAACATTACCAACGTTAGCGTTCGATTTCGAGGACGATTTATGACAAAAAAAACGGTCTAATTTTGTCTGTTTAGCCTTTACATCTCCTTGTTCTCTCTTGTCCTTTCTCTTTTGAGCGCCGCTCTTGTGTTTTGGTTTGCTGTACATTATAAATCCAAGCTATTCAATTTGTTATAATTCTGCCGATCTTGCTGCTGCTATAGCTATAGCTATGTAGTACATATAACTTTTGATGTTGATTAAACGGTTCGCTCGTCACGCAAGGTATCACATGACATGAAAGGGAGCAAGGTCATTGGACAGACAAATTAAAAATTAATTTAGGTTGCTAGGTTACTTTGAAGACTGCGTGAACCAGTCAATGCCATTGGGGCCCCAAAATAAAATATATATAAAAAAAAAGAAGAAAAAAAAGATTATATATAGACATTTTTTGTTGTTGTTGCATGGGCCCCTGGACGGCTGTGGGCCCCGGTGCAATGCACCGGCTGCACCGTCGATAGTTACGCCACTGCCTGGAGATGTTGCTTGGTGCTCATCCTTAAAATGAAATAAACCGTAACTTTTGAGGGGGTCTTGACTTTATTTGCCAGACACACGGCACTGAACACACATGCAGAGGTGAACACAGAACACACATGCAGAGGTGAACACAAGACAACATTAGCACAACCAGTAATCCTACAAGCTGTCATCACTACCCTCCTGACTGTTCTCCTCACTGTCTTCCTCTCTGTTCTCCTCACTGTTCTCCTCACTGTCTTCCTCTCTGTCTTCCTCTATGTCTTCCTCACTGTTCTCCTGACTGTTCTCCTCACTGTCTTCCTCTCTGTCAGACATGGTAGCTGATGATGTAGGCCTACTACTTTCTCTCTGGTTGAGTTTGCGATTAGCTGCTTGCATCCACAAGTCAACAGCTGGTTTTGGGTCGAAAGTCTCTGTTGTCATCTTAGACAAGTGGATGTAATCAAATAAGTATGTGAACATAACCAATAACCTACCATAGCCAATAACAAATTAATGTAACTTATTTTATTTTTGTTGTTCATATCTTATTTTACCTTAACATTTATTTATTTATGCATTTTTTTTATCTTTCCAGTTTTAAAGGATATTTTTGGTTACTGTCCTAGTATACATTGGAATGATTTCAAACCTGTTTATCCCAATAATTATAAAGGAGTGCCTTGAAAATATGTGTTTACATAAATTGTGATCAAAACGTTTGAGACCCACTGAGATAACTTAGACTAAAGTGAATTATCTAAACACTCAGAGTCCTTTACCTCAGTCTGACTGGAGAGGACTCTCCCTCCACATTATTGTAGAAACATCTTCTTCTTATATCCGTTAGAGCAGCTAGCACCAGATTCTAATAACAACAGCGCCGGAACCGGTGCACCCTCCCTCGCTCCCACGCTCACTCGCACTTTGGCTGTGAGCTGTGGGCGCCAGATAAGCCAACATCCCCCATTTTCATCACTTACAGCGCCCATTGTACAGGGCAAATGAAACGTGTAACCGGGGTGAAAAGGGTGTTACATTTACTTAATTATGAATATTGTTACATCAAGGCCGAAAATTAGGATGAGTCCCAACGGTCAAAAATATTTTTTTCCCTCCCAGAGCTTCCAGCACAGCGCCTCCACAGATCTGGCGCCCTTGGCGAACATCTATAACGCCAGTGCTACGGGCCGGCCCTGAGTTCATATGCAACTCACAAATATCTTGCTTAAGCACTGGATGACTTATATCAACAATGTCATGAAGAATCCAAGCCCTTGCTCACCACTGGAAGCAGCGGAGCTCGGCAAAAGGACCACGCCCAAAGAATGGGCAGTGGCGACATTGACCTGATGACAACTGGAGAATGTGCCAGAAGACGCCCACGACGCCGAGGCGTAGATGGTCTCCAGGGGCACCACCCTCAGGGCAGCCCAAGATGTTGAGATGCTCCTTGTAGAGTGGCATCTCAGCCTGATGGCAGGGGGCGGCCACTGGCCCCGTAAGCCTGTGAGATGGTATCGACAACCCAGTGGGGCAGCCACTGGTTAGAGGGCATAACCTCCTTTAGTGCCGCCAGGGCAAAATCAAGAGTTGCTCCTCCTGCCGTATACAGGCAGTAGCCTTGATATATGCCCTTTGGGCACCCCCAGGGCACAGCAACTTCGACGTGCCGTACTCCTGAATGTCAAAGCGTGCCAGCTGGGCAGGCTGATTGAAGTGGGTTTGTGGAAGGACCCCGGGCGGAATGCCACATTTGCCCAAAGGGCAACGCCTGAGAGTCCCACCTCGGGCATGTATTGTTTATGGAGAGGACATGCAACTCCCCGACTCGCTTCCCTGAGGCTATGGCAAGCAGAAATGCTGCCTTCGTGGGCAGCCACCTAAGCCCCACCTGGGCCAGGGGCTTGAAGGGAGGAGATGATAGGGCATCCGGCAGCAGGGACAGGTCCCAAGCCGGAGCCCTCGGGGTGCTAGGGGGACGCTGCCGTAAAGCCCCTCTCATAAAGAGGGACACCGACCTGTGGGACACCGACCTGTGGCACCCCGCCGTGGCGCCGTCGACCCGAACATGTCGGGCAGAAATCGCAGCCACATAAATTCTGAGTGGAGTGAGAACGTCCACTATCTAGAAGGAACTGTTGTCTAAGCAACAACGTACATGCTGTCCCCAAGGAACACGCACATTCTTGCCCCCCAGTTGGGGTAGAAAGTGCGTGAGTGCAAGCTGCACAGCCCGAAGCTCTAGCACGTTGACCTGGCGCGCACTCTTCTGGGCAGACCGCTGACCCTGAACGGTCCTGCCCTGCCGCACTGCACCCCACCCTGAGAGACATGCACCTATGGTGATGGTCTCCTGGCGGGATGGGATGGCGCCCATGGGTACGCCCACCAGGAGATAGGCCCATCCAGCGTGACAGAGAGTGGAGGCAATGCTGCGACACCCTGACTTCCCTGTGCCTGTGCCACTTGGCGTCCAAGTGAAGGCTGTTCAGCCACATCTGCATGGGGCGCAACGACAGCGGGCCTAAAGGCCCAGCGGCCGAGGCAGCTGCCAGTCTGCCCAAGGGCCGGAGGAACTGAATATAAGGCACCCTCTGGCCCGGCCCACGTGGAAGTAGGCATCCCTCAAGTCCACGGTTGAGAACCCCTCCACCTGTGCATATGCAGTGATCAGCATATAGAATGGCAGCACCTTCAGGAATCTGTTGATTCCTCTGAGGTCCAAGATCGGGCGAAATCCGCCGACTTTCTTGCTCACGAGAAAGTACGCCGAGTAGAACCCCCTGGGCTAAGCAGAGGGTCTTACTGACTTGATTGCGTCCTTGGACAGAAGTACGGACAACTCTTGGGCCAGAGCTAGGGCCCCTGCCGGATCGCTGACGACTGTCAATTAGACCCAGCCTAAGGCTAGGGGCCGGAATTACGGTCCATACCCCTGGGTTAAGGTGAAACCACCCAAGGGACGGAAGTACAGACCGCCCAGTAACTGTGCTGCTGCTGGGAAAGCAGCCGACGACCGCCCCCGGGATTTCAGGGCCCAGCCCCCCGGCCCCTCGAGCCTCTCGGGGGGCGGCGGTAAGGCTCTGGGCACGAGGCCGCCTGGAAGGCGGGCAACCTGGGGCACGAAAGTCATTGGGAGGCGGTTGAGTGGGCCGCTAAGACCTCTGCAGACCACCACTGTAATCCGGCGGCTGAGTGTGGCTGCTAGAGCGGCCCCTGGGCCTGCTGGGAGTGGGCATAGGTCTGCGAAGACCCGAGAGCTGCTGCCTGGTCTGCCTTGCTTGGGCGGCACGCTCCAGTGCCTCCAGGGCAGCTGACCTAAACAGCTCCCCTGGCTCGACTGGTACGCTACGGAGGACTCTCCTATGCCTCCGTTAGTGGTGACTGGGCCAGCGAAAACTGGCGACGAGTCTGTACCAGCGACAAGGCGTCCTCATACAGAGGTGCGTCAGCCAAAGGAGGTGCGCCAATAGAGAGGGGCGTCAACCGAAGGAGGGGGGGGGGACAGGCGGCCCGCTAGCAGCCCCTACACCGGGCCCAGGCTGAAGGGCCAAGAGGCGACTTCATCATGCCCCTATCGGCAGCTAGCCGATCCACTTTAGAGGACAGCCTGTTTCTAGTCCTTCTATTGGGGGGAGCACACATAGCCATCGCTCCCTCAAGTCGCCGGGAACCGCCGAATTGATCTGGAGGAGGATGTGACAAGGAGAGGTGTCTGTTGGCTGCTGCCAGATGTTCCACCTCAGTGATTCTAGCCACTCTGAGAGCCCGAGGCATGCAGCTACAGCTCATGCAGGCGTTTACCGTCAGAACCTCCCTCAGATGCTCGAATTTCGTCCCCACAGTGGGGACGAAATTCAGCGGTCGTGGCTGTCCTCGGGCTCAAGAGAAGCCATACAGGCGCTACATGAATGAACCATTCTGTAGGTAGCCAGATGCAGCGTAGCCGGGAGCGGGTACACAGCCTTCACCAGCTACCTGCTTAATGGAAAGAGTAGAGCGTTGCTGCTACTCGCCGAACAGAAAGAGGGATGTAATTACACCCACGTTACTGGCAGAGGGAGCGGGAGCGAGAGCACTGCCTTCACCTGGCTGGATTAATAAATACGGCAGTTCATCGTCTACCAGGAGCGGGGGTGAGAACACTGCCGGCTGAGTTAGAGACGAATGCCAGATGTAGCATAACCGGGAGCGGGAACACAGCTTTCACCAGCTACCTGCTTAACGGAAAAACAGGGCAGTTCCGCGTCTACCAGGAGCGGGGGCGAGAACACTACCTTCACTGGTTGAGTTAGAGACGAATGCCAGATGCAGCGTAACCGGGAGCGGGTGCAGGAACACAGCCTTCACCAGCTACCTGCTTAACGGAAAGACAAGGCAGTTCAGCGCCTACCAGGAGCGGGGGCGAGAACACTGCCTTCACTGGTTGAGTTAGAGACGAATGCCAGATGCAGCGTAACCGGGAGCGGGTGCGGGAACACAGCCTTCACCAGCTACCTGCTTAACGGAGAAACAAGGCAGTTGCGCGTCTACCAGGAGCGGGGGTGAGAACACTGCCTTCACTGGTTGAGTTAGAGACGAATGCCAGATGCAGCGTAACCGGGAGCGGGTGCGGGAACACAGCCTTCACCAGCTACCTGCTTAACAGAAAAACAAGGCAGTTCAGCGTCTACCAGGAGCGGGGGCGAGAACACTGCCTTCACTGGTTGAGTTAGAGACGAACGCCAGATGCAGCGTAACCGGGAGCGGGTGCGGGAACACAGCCTTCACTGGCTACCTGCTTAACGGAAAAACGAGGCAGTTCAGCGTCTACCAGGAGCGGGGGCGAGAACACTGCCTTCACTGGTTGAGTTAGAGACGAATGCCAGATGCAGCGTAACCGGGAGCGGGAACACAGCCTTCACCAGCTAGCTGCTGAACGGGAAGAGTAGAGCGGTGCTACTACTCGTCGAACAGAAAAAGGGATGTAGCTACATCTGCATTACCGGTAGAGGGAGTGGGAGTGGGAGCGAGAGCACTGCCTTCACCTAGCTGGGTAAAATAAAGAAGCTTAACAGTATACGCAAGACATTAGCCGAGCGCTGCTGCTAACGATCAAGCGAGATCAAGTCAAATAACACACATGTTTAAGACCAGATAACTAGCTTATAAAGAAGAGAACAGCACAGAGCCGTAGTTAAAGCAGTAACCATGGCCAGTGCTCACACGGCATATAACCGTAGTTACAGTAGTAACTATGGCCAGTACTTACACGGCTTAGAACCGTAGTTACAGTCGTAACTATGGCCAGAACTTACACAGCATAGAGCCGTAGTTACAGTAGTAACTCTGGCCAGTACTTGCACGGCTTGGAACCGTAGTTACAGTAGAAACTATGGCCAGTACTTACATGGCTTAGAACCGTAGTTACAGTAGTAACTATGGCCAGTACTTACACAGCATAGAGCCGTAGTTACGGTATTGACTATGGCCAGTACTTGCACGGCTTGGAACCGTAGTTACAGTAGTAACTATGGCCAGTACTTACGGCTTAAAACCGTAGTTACAGTAGTAACTATGGCCAGTACTTACACAGCATAGAGCCGTAGTTACGGTATTGACTATGGCCAGTACTTACACGGCTTGGAACCGTAGTTACAGTAGTAATTATGGCCAGTACTTACGGCTTAGAACCTTAGTTACAGTAGTAACTGTGGCCGGTGCCTAAAAGTGTCAGCCAAACGGCTGCCCACTAGATAATATAATATTGGGAGGATGAAATCCTCCTTAATGGCCACACATGCAGAGCACACAGCACACACAGTGAAGATTGTTCTCTGCATATCGTCCTAGTGCTAGGAGTCTAGTACTAGGAGCAGTAAATACAACGATATAGCGCTACTGGAACCATACCATGCGTTTACCGGGAGCGAGAGCACTGCCCTCACCGGCTGAGTTAAATAATTAAGCTTAACAGTACATGCAAGGTGTTACGGCCCGTCCACACAGCGGCGTGCGTTGAAGCTTCCAACGCTTCTGTCCATTCACTTTCAATGGGGGACGTCACTTTTAGCCGAACTGCATTTTGGGAAGCGACGTGGAGCGTTGCTGGCTTCAAAAGTTGAGCAATGTTCAACTTTTGACGCCTCGACGGAGGCGTCAGCCAATGAAATCCCGTTTATGCAAATCTGCCAGTACAAGCGCTAGCCAATCAAACCGCGTGTATGCTAGGAGAGACTACGCAGGTCATTTCCTCATATTCCAAAAAATGGAGGGAAAATTCATTATAGCGGTAGTGAATCACCAGGTGCTGTATGATCAGTCTCTGTTCATCTACTGGGATACAAACCGGAGGAGCGAGGCATGGAGGGAGGTGGCAGAGACAGTAGATGAAACTGGTAGATTTTCGCCTGTTTGGGGATTTTATATCCAGTTTACTTCGTTTTAACATTGCTATTGCTTTGTATGTCGGGGGCGGGAGATTCATGTGATTGGTTGTTGGTCGCGTTGCTCGCAAAAAATCCCCAAGCTTCAGATACGCCCACCTCCAAGCGTCAACGCACGCTGCTGTGTGGACGCTCCGTTAGCCAAGCGGCTGCTGCTAACAATCAAGCAACCAAGTCAGAACACAATGTTAAGACCAGATAATTAGCTTCTAAGAAAGAGAACAGCCCGCATAGAACCGTAGGCCATGGTTACAGTAGTTGTTACAGGGTGGTTTAGGCTAGGTTGCAGCTCCACCCTGTGGACGTATTGTGCCTGTGTTATATATATCTGCCTCACGTAATATACCTCCGTTGTATGATTGCCTGCTCGGTGTGAATACACGGCGTTGAGACACAGCCTGACTTGCCTTGTTTATTAATGCACATACATCTACAAACATGGTGTCAGAAGCTCAAATAGGACCCAGCTGTGGATTGCATGCTACTGTCCGTCGCTGAGACAGAGTGCGTTTATATGTTTTGGTGAGGTTTAGCAGTTTCAGTTAGCCTGTTAGCATTAGCGTCACGTTGGAACAATGGCATCCAGCATCCCACCTCCGGAGCCTATGAAGATGGCGGGGGACATCCACAGCAACTGGGTGAGCTTTCGAGCAGAATTTGAAGATTATCTGCTTGCGACCGGGCTCAGCGAGAAAGTAAAGCCGGTACAAGCAGCTGCGCTCAGGAGGCTAATGGGGAACGACTGCCGACATGTTTACAAACACAACCTGGGACTCACCGCGGACCAACAAAAAGATGCGGGTGCTATACTGGTGGCACTGGAGCAATACTTCACACCCGCAAAGAACGTAATCTTTGAGAGGTACGTTTTTGGCAACCTTAAACAAGAGGATGGAGAGCTCTTGGATGCGTTTGCTACCAGGCTGAGGGAAAAGGCTGCCTCTTGTGAATATGGAGCTATAAAAGATGAACTCATAAGGGACAGGCTTGTTCTCGGGATAACTGACGAGGGTGCTAGACGTCGCTTACTAAGGGGAAAGGACCTTAAATTGGACGAGGCCATTAAAATTTGCCGTGCAGCCGAGGTCATGGACAGCAAGTTAAAAACCATGTCACTGGGCAGCTCTGGACCTGGGGACAGCATTAATGCCACACAAGGACAGCGATATGGACGGAGGTCTGCCAGCAGGCCATCCGAGTCCACCAACACATCTGCACAACCACAGAGCATGAGAGACGCTGGCGAATGCAAGTACTGTGGCACACGGCACAAGCGTGGGCGGGACCTGTGCCCTGCTTTTGGTAAATCGTGCCGCTCGTGTGGCACTGCTAACCATTTTGCAAAAGTATGCATGAAAAGAGGCCAGCAGGCACGCCAGTTGAATGCTGTGGATGACCCGTTGCCAGGGGAACTGGAGGACAGCGATGAGAGAGACGTGTACACAGCGGAGAGCGTGGGGGCTGTGAACACTCGAGGTAAAAAGTGGTTTGTCAACCTGCCACTGCAAAGTGGGGTTCAGAGGTGCCAGCTCGACTCTGGAGCCACTTGCAATGTGATGAGCATCAAGGACAAGACGAGACTGACGCCTAGAACACCTCTTCTGAAGAGTCTCACCAGATTAAAACTATACAACAGTGAGTGGATGAGCTCATTAGGTGTGTACAGCACACAATGCGTCATTAGGGGTAAGACGCACAGACTGGACTTTGAGATTGTGCATACTGGCCAGAGGCCCTTGCTTTCGGGTGAGACATGTGAGAGACTTGGTCTGATACGCTTCACCATTCCTGAGGAGCTGAATAAGGTGGAGCACTGCAGGAAGGGAGACCTGACCAAGGAGTGTCTGGTCAGCACCTACCACAACGTGTTCACCAGCCCTGTTGAGTCTCTGCCCGGTGTTATTCACTTTGAGCTGGACAGCACTGTGGCACCGGTGCAGTGTGCTCCCAGGAACGTTCCAGTGCCCTCAAGGCAGCTGTTAAGGCTCAGCTTGATTGATATGAAGAGGAGGGACACTTGACCACAGTCACTCAACCCACGGACTGGATTAGCAATCTAGTCATAGTGAAAAAGCCAGACAAATTGAGACTATGCATTGACCCGAAGCCTCTCAACCGTGCTCTGAAACGGTCCCACTACCTTATGCCCACTTTAGATGACGTGTTGTATAAGCTGCCGAAGGCACGTATATTCACCCTGGTGGATGCACATGATGCATTCCTGCAGTGCCGCTTGGATGAAGAAAGCAGCCTGATGACAACATTCTGGACACCGTGGGGTAGGAAATGCTGGCTGAAACTCCCTTTCGGTGTGTCAGTTGCCCCAGAGCTGTATCAAAGGAAGCAGCATGAGCTGCTGGCTGGCTTGACAGGGATTGAGCCCATAGCCGATGATATCCTTATAGTCGGCTGTGGGGACACAGAGGATGAGGCCAATCGCGACCATGACACAAACCTCATCGCTCTGATGGACAGATGCAGGGAAGTAAAGCTGAGACTGGGCCTGAAAAAGCTGCAGTTCCGAGTGAAGGAGGTCCGCTTCCACGGCCACATACTGTCCGCGGAGGGCCTCAAGGCTGACCCTGAAAAAGTCAGGGCGGTTCTGGACATGCCAAACCCCACAGACGCAAAAGGGGTCCAGCGGTGTGTCGGATTTGTGAACTATCTGTCCAGATTCATGCCACGCTTGTCAGCGGTATGTGAGCCGCTGAGGAGACTGCTGGACAAGGATGTGATGTGGCACTGGCTGCCCAAACATGATGCCGCCATGAAGGAAATCAAGGCACTGGTCATGGCGGTGCCAGTCCTAAGGTACTATGACGTCCGCAAGCCAGTCACCGTACAGAGCGACTCCAGTCAGGCGGGTCTGGGTTGCTGCTTGCTTCAAGGGGGACAGCCTGTCGCATTCGCCTCCCGGGCATTGACCCAAACAGAGCAAAATTACGCACAGATTGAAAAGGAGTGCCTGAGCATCGTATTCGCCTGCCAACGCTTCCACTACTACCTATATGGGAGGGGTGATGTGACTGCAGAGACCGACCACTGGTGTCCATCTTCACCAAGCCCCTCCTCAGTGCACCAAAGCGCCTTCAGAGCATGCTCCTCACACTTCAGAACTACTGCCTTGTGGTGGTATACAAGCCAGGCCCTGAGATGTACATAAGTGACACGCTCAGCAGAGCCACCACCCCGCCACAGAGAACAGACACACTGTACCAATGTGAAATGGTCTGCAGCATGCAGCAGGAGCAGGGTGACACGGCGGCCATTCAGCAGGCAGACTATTTAAATGTCAGCAGCCAACGCCTGGCACAGATTCGGACACACACTGAGGAGGATGTGTGTCTTCAAACACTTAAGTCTGTCGTGCTGGAGGGATGGCCAGGACACAAAGAGGAGACCCCTGTAGCCGTCAGGGACTACTGGGCCATCAGAGATGAGATAAGTGCACAGGATGGCGTGCTCTTCAGGAGTCAGCGTGTCATCATTCCAAAAGCTATGCGCCCGGAAATGCTGAGACGGATCCACTACAACCACGTGGGGGGCGAGGCGTGCTACAGGCAGGCCCGTGATACACTTTACTGGCCCGGTATGCAAGGGGAAGTCAAGGATTATGTGCAAAAGTGCTCTGTGTGCAATGAGTATGCACACAAACAACAGAAAGAGACTATGATGTCACACACGCTCCCCACACGTCCCTGGCAGCTAGTAAGCATGGATCTGTACAGCTACGCAGCACAGAACTTCTTGCTCGTGGTGGACCATTATTCTGACTTTTGGGAGATCGACCTGCTCCCTGACCTATCAGCTGACACCACGATCCGTAGATGCAAGGCACAGTTTGCACGCTACGGTGTCCCAGACAGGGCCATTTCTGATGGTGGAGGCCAGTTTGCCGGTGGAGAGTTCCGGGCGTTTGCGAGAGAGTGGGGTTTTGAGCATGTCATGTCCTCACTGAGGCACCCAAAGGCTAACGGCAAAGCAGAGTCAGCAGTGAAAATTGTAAAGAGCCTGTGCAGAAGGGCAGACCGTGCCAAAGAGGACCCCTGGAGGGCCATATTGCATTGGAGAAATACGCCCACTGAGGGTATGCATTGCAGCCCAGCACAGCGGCTTATGTCGCGGAGACTGAGAACCCTTCTCCCTGTGGCCGACCAGCTACTGGTGCCTCAGGTCGTCATGGGTGTTCCTGACAAGCTGAAAATTAAACATCAAGCAGCAAAGCTGACATATGACAGATCTGCCAAGGATCTGCCGGAGCTGAACGTCGGCCAGCCCATACGGATGAAGCCACTCCCAGGAGACAGGACGGGCCGATGGAGGAGAGGTGTGTGCCTTCAGCAGTTGGGACTCCGGTCCTATCTGGTCGGTGTGGAGGGGACCACGTATCGGCGCAACAGGGTTGATCTTCGACCAGCAGATGCGGCCCTTCTCCAGCCGTCAGTTCTCCCAGAATCGGCCCCGGAGCAGCCTGCGAGTGGGGGGAGCGCCAGAGAGGTCGTCGGCGTCCCCAAGGACATCACCCCCGGGGTTGTCGCGGTCTTCCCCGCAGACTGGGGATACACCATGCCTTGAGTTACAGGGCCGGGCTTTCTCCCGGAGCGGACGGCTGATTAGACCTCCTGACAGACTTGACCTCTAGGCACACACACACACACACACACACACACACACACACACACACACACACACACACACACACACACACACACACACACACACACACACACACACACACACACACACACACACACACACACACACACACACACACACACACACACACACACACACACACACACACACACACACACACACACACACACACACACACACACACACACACACACACACACACACACACACACACACACACACACACACACACACACACACACACACACACACACACACACACACACACACACACACACACACACGATAAAGATGTGTAAAAAATAAATAAAAAGGAAGTGGAGAGATTGTAAAACAAATGTGATTGATTGTTCTGAGTTTATTGCTGATGTGTTCGGATCTGGCTATTATTGAAGTGTCTCTGCTATGTGCACTATTTGTTGTTGAAATCATTTGATTAATGTTCTGATTGAAGGTCAACAGTTTAATGGCAGTATTGATCCTGTGTTGTTACTTAACAAAAGGAAGGGAGATGTTACAGGGTGGTTTAGGCTAGGTTGCAGCTCCACCCTGTGGACGTATTGTGCCTGTGTTATATATATCTGCCTCACGTAATATATCTCCGTTGTATGATTGCCTGCTCAGTGTGAATACACGGCGTTGAGACACAGCCTGACTTGCCTTGTTTATTAATGCACATACATCTACAAACAGTAGTAACCGCACATGCAGAGCACACAGGGAGCTCCACAAATCATGTGAAACCCAGATTTGGCACAAAAAAGGGGGAATACACGTTTCGCAATTATGCCACATCAAGGTGGAACGCTCTTCCCACAACTGTAAAGGAAAGTAAAACTATACTTACCTTCAAAACCTCTCTTAAAGAGCACCTTCGGGGGAGAGCATTGCAAAACTGGTCCCGGTAATGGTACAAATCTCAACCTGTCGTTCAATGGACAGCTTCCCCCCCCCCCATCTATGTATATACTCGCATTTTAGACTCTGTTACTAACTGTATATCTGTAGACTTGGTATGTCTTAAATGTCCGGTTAGGATGTATTAGAACGAAATCTAAAATGAAAATTGTAAATAAGCATTCTGTATGTAAAAAACCACCTGTATGTAAATTGTAAATAAGCCATCTGTATGTCAAATATGTCTTGTATGTCTTAAATGATATGATGAATTGGAAATGGGGGACCCTGATGTAAACAAGACGAAAGTCTTTCTCTGGTCTAAATCCCCTTAACAATTGTATGTTTTGAGCTGTACTGTACCCAATATACAAGCTGTTAATAAACTTTTCAATCAATCAATCAACAGCACCCGCAGTGAAGATGTTCTCTGCATATCATCCTAGTGCTAGGCGTCTAGTACTAGGAGCAGTAATACAACGATCTAGCGCTACTGCAATCAAACCCTATGTTACCGGGAGCGGGAGCACTGCCCTCACCGGCTGAGTTAATAGTTAAGCTCAACAGCAAGGTGTTAGTCAAGCGGCTGCTGCTAACAATCAAGCGACCAAGTCAGAACACAAATGTTAAGACCAGATAATAGCTTCTAAGAAATAGAAAGTACTTACCTTACTCTCTGCATTTAAACGAAAAACGGGTTTAAAGTATGACACTCTGGGCTTTCCATAGTAAATTGAATGAAGGACACAGCCAAAGCTGGGACTCAAATACTAATGATAGCTCGGGCACAACGCCACAAGCAGAACTTTCAAAAGAGCATAAGGGCAACTTTATGGGAGAGGAAGCGGGAACACTGTCGTCACCAGAAAGTCTGAAGCCAAACCAAAAATAAGACAGCAATCAGGACAACTTGGCTGGGAGAGGGTGCGGGGACACAGCCATCACCAGCAACAAGCTGACACAAACCTGTCTGTCGAGGCTCTGCACAGCGCACAGCAGGCCACAGCTCCTGGAGGACGCGTTAACGACCCATAGCTCCGACTGTCAGTCGCGAAGCTGCACGCGGCCAGCTGCTTGCAGAGCAATCCCTCAGATCAAACGTTCAAACCTGAACGCTGTAGGCTACAAAAATGTAGCCACGGTACCCTCGCGCAGCGAGAAGATGAAAGGAACAGATCCTCTGACGACACGGCTGATAGCCGGTGTCACGTGGGTCACAGGTGACTTTGCATGCGCGGTGATGGACATATCCAGTGCTTAAAGCACCGCCTCTGGCGCAGGGGCGGATCTACCGGGGTGGCATGGGGTGGCAACTGCCACCCTAAACAATAGCCTTGCCACCCCAGTTGGCATCTTTGTTTTGAAAGAAAAGTTGTGGCTCATCGGACATTTATGAGAGAAAATCTCTAATGCCCGAGTGCAAGTGAATGCAGCACAAGACGCGAGTCTTGTAACCCCTCCCCCGGCCCTGGCGCGAGACTGGAAATATGATTGATGGCGAATTCACTTGAACGGGGGGACGGCGCAAAGCGAGAAGCATTTCGGACCCAAGTAGACGGAAGGAATGAGGTAGTTGCGGTCTACAATTACAGAGAAGGTCAAGTTTGGCTGTACTCAGCATTGAATCAAAACGCACTAAAGCTTTGGATCTTAATACGTTTGTGAGGCGTTTTGCTGAACAAAATGGTAATCGCCGCATTCAGCTGTAATAGACGTGCCAACTTGATGCTCTGCTCACGGATGACTCGATGAGCATAACAAACTGTTAAGATGATGACCTTGTATGCGTGTATATATTTTTTTTCTTTGTGGGGGTCTGCCCCCAAAAAACAGTTTTAAGTCCTGAGGAAGTAAAAGCAGACTGTGTGTAAAACTACACTGCCCAGCCAACAGAAAGTAACCACTTTGATTTAACTAGGCCAGTAGGTAAGGACCTTCCACTGGATCATAACTGCAGCGATGTTTTAGCTGAATACACGTTTTTTAACCCTAACTGATGCAGTTCGTCACTTATTTAATGTTTGTTCTTTCTGATGTAAAGTCAAGGTTGTAACTGTATATCAATAATGATATAATTACTTGTTTTTCAAATTTGAAGGAGGGTGAGCAAGCATCTTGATGAACATTCATCATTAACTCCTCCAAAAAATATAGTTTATTCAATAATAAATGAATATGTGAATCATAACAGTGATTGACAGCTGATAGGAATAATATGATTGTTAATAGTATCATATTCATTCAGACAAACATCGATGAGACAGTTAATTAATGTACTTATTGCAGCAGTGCATAGATTTGGTTCCCCTGCTGGTCTAAGATTGAAACAAACTCATTCAGTTATTGTTCAGTTAAAATTCATTAAATTACGTCTGCCACCTTACATATGTAGGCCTATATGTAAGGCTTTACTGATGTGCCACAATAATATCACCTAATGTCATTGAGTTAAAATATTAATATTGTGGCTTTCCAAGTTAACATTGATTGTAGGGGTGTAACGGTTCACAAACATTTCGGTTCGGTTCGTACCTCGGTTTTTAGGTCACGGTTCGGTTCGGTACAGCAGAAAAAATTATCACAACATTAATTTTTTTTAATTTTGTTTTA